TGGATGGGTGGGTGGATGGGTGGATAGATGGTTGGGTGGATGGATTGTGGATGGACAGATGGATGGATGGGTGGGTGGGTGGATAGATGGTTGGGTGGATGGACTGTGGATGGACGGATGGATGGAGGGATGAATAGAGGGAAAGCTGAATGTAAGGTGAGGACTGTAATTGTCATGGTTCTCTAGAGAAACAGAGTCAATAGGATCAACTGACCTATCATCTATCTATCTATTTATCTATCTATCTATCTATCTATCTATCTATCTATCTATCTATCTATCATCTATCATCTAGGAGATTTATGATGAGGGATTGGCTCACATGATTGTGGAGTCTGAGAAGTCCCACAGGCTGTTGTCTCAAGCTGGAGCCTCAGGACAGTGAGGGTCTGGTTCAGCTGGGGGGCAGCTCACGGTCAGGCAGAAGGGGTGGTTCTCCCCTCTCTACCTCCTGTCTTACCCCAACCCTCAGCTGAGCGGATGGGGCCCACTCACACTGGGGAGGGCCATCCACTCTCCCGAGCCCACCAGTTCCAGTGCTAATCTCTTTGGGAGATACCCTCACTGGGCACTGTGTGGCCACTCAGGGACATATGAGATCAACCACCCAAGGAATGTATTGCAAAGTGCTCTTCTAGTCAGTGAGGAATATCAGAGGTGTTTATATTGACCTGAGCACCGACTGTCAGCATGGAGTATGTGTTAACTGTGGGTGCACAGGCGTCCCGGGGAGGCGGTGGGCTGGTGGCCTCTGTGGAGACATCTGCCATTTCTGTTCAGCCCCTGCCCCTCACGTGCCTCGCCCACTAATCAGACTGCCCCTCTGACTGCAAGCTCCAGGGGCTCGTGAGGGAGCCAGCTTCATCCGGGCTCACCAGGGAGGGAGGCACCACCTATTCCGGCTGGTGGACAGATTCGGGAGGAACTGCAATGTGCTTTTTCCCGGACTCTGGCTGTCCCCACGGGAAGCGTCACAATCCTGCTGAAGAAGATGGACTAAAGTGGGGCCCTTTCCCTCTGTAATTTAGCAGTAGCTAATTCTACTCCATCAGTGGGAGTCTGTGTGAGGGCGAGACACCAGGAACTGGGTCACACGAGGTCAGCCAGCATCCTAGGTCCAGGTGGCTCACCTCCGATGGAAAAGCTGCCTGTTTGCTGCTTCCCCAGCTCAGGACCCCGGCTCTGGGTCTAACGGCCTCTCTTGTGGTTTGCATTCCATCAAGGCACGTGCCACTGGGGCTCCCCCCTCACAAAGTCAACACACCTCTGAAAGGGTCAGCCCCGAATGTGCTCCACGCTAGGGACAGGATGATAATAAACAATAAGATGTAATGTCCTTTGAGGGCCTGCTCTGTGCCAAGCTACTGATATGTATTACCCTTTTAATTTTTATCACAGCAATTCAGAGGGGTGGTTTCTACTGCTTTTTCCATTTTATAGATAAGGAAATTGAGTTTCAGAGGGAGGCTACTCCTAGCCCAAGGTCACCCATCTCAGACATGTGATTGTGACATCCCTAGGGCTCCCAGATGGATGCTATCAGTCATGATGGGTTTTCAGGAGAATAAAGAGCTACCACCTCATGGGAGCTGCAGGGAGCCCTGAGCAGGCCTGTGATCGCGGGCAGAACACGGAGGACAAAAGCAGAAGGTGTGTGGGGGATGGAGCCCAGCTTCTCTGGGGCAGGGTGTGAGGCAGGAGGCGACGGGGTTTGGCCAGGCCAGACCTGCCTCCACTGCCCCCTGCCAGGGTTCTGGCCCTTCTTTCTCAGCTCCTGTCTCTGTGGAATGGGCGGTGGTTCTTGTGGTGGCGGGCAGGCACAGTCTGCATGGGCCCGTCACTGTGCCCGGCACCTGCAGAACGTGCGACATACAGTATGTACATCTGGGGGATGGAGGGACGGATGGATGGGCAGCAAGGGTGAGGGCAGTGTGGGGGGATCTGGAGCTACGTGAGGAGTGTGGACTTTGAGGGTCAGTGCGGTGTCGTCCCAGGACTCTGGGCCAGGCTGTGACGCGGACGGGGTTTGGAAGAGCAGCTGGGAATCCAAGATGGCCAGGATTCAAGGTCAGTGTGACTGGAGGTGGAGTGGGTGGGTTGTTGGTTTCTGGCAAGTCTCCAAATCTTTCCAGTCCATTTCACCGCACCCCACCCTCCTTACCCAAACCCCAATTGCCTCACCCGTGATTGAGCCCTTTCTCCCTCCCTCGGGCCGGCCGGCCGCCCAACACCCTCACCCACCCGGCGTCCTCCTGCATGGACGCCAGTGGGGGATGCCCGCGTTCTCCCCGCTCCGTGCAGAGCCCACGAGGGCCTGGATGGTGTCGGCCGCCCACGCTGTACCCCCAGCAACACGCCAGCCCTTGTGGGAAGTGGAGAAAGAGGTACTGAATGAGCAAATGTTGATGAAAGAGGTGCGCCCCTGCCCCGTGCAGGGGCTCAGCTATGTAAGGGGGTGACCACGAGCCTAGCCCTTGATCCAAAGTTCCTGGTGCAAGCTTGAGCTCCCCACTCACCACTGGGGTTCAGTTTTCTCTTTATAAAAGGGATTCTGATAACAGCATTGACTTCAGAGGCTGACCCGAGGAATAATGCAGCTCTGGTGCTAAGAACCTTCCGGAAGCATCAGTTTTGCAGGTCGGGACAAGTGGTGGGAAGTGGTGTATGGTTCCCTCGGAGCTGGAGTCCCAGGTTCTGCTTTAAGTGTTCTGAAATTAATTTCAGCGTGAAATTACAGTTTCTGATTGAATACACATGGATTGTGTAGTGATGGTTGGTCTGTCCAATGTGGTATTTATTTTAGATGTGTGCTTTTAATCAAGACTAGAAAACAATCTAAGTGAAAAATTTGTAAAATAAATGACTTTCTGGTAAAAGCTAACATTTCCCATTTGGCAGGAGTGAGAATACCAGCCCGAGGGGTCTTTGGAGTGTTTGCAGGATTCCAGTTGATGGAAGGTCGGTGGGCTTCTGTATTCGCAGACCTTGGGGGCGGGAGTGCGAGGTGTGAGGCCTGCGGGCCAGGACGGCTGGACCGTGAAGCTGTGTGACTTTGGGCAGATTCTTTATCCTCCGTGGCCTTGGTGTCCTCATCTGTACAAGGGACATGCTAGCAGCCCCCGTCTCGGGCTGTAGGTGAGTGTGCAGATGAACGCGGTGCTTAGCATGGTGTGTGGCACCCAAGGTTTTTTTTCTTGTCGTTGCTGAGAAATGAGAAGAGGCTTCTGATTTATTTGGGACCAAAAACACATTCTTGTGAGTCTCAGAATTCAGGCTTTAGGGTCAAAGAAAGCTTCTCATTTCAATGTTCTCATTTATCAGCTCTTTCCTCCTACTGTCTGCAGGTTAGCTCCATCAAGTGGAGTTGGAATGTTAAATTTTAGGATCTAAGCATCTTGATTTTTTTTTTATGAAGTTTTGTTTTTGACACTAGATAGAGGTTGAAATTCAGTTACTTAGAATTAAAAAAAAAACCAAAACAAAACAAAGAGAAAGCCAGGCATTCCTTCTCAGAAGACAGAACCGCAGGAGAAACAGCTGAAACACAAACAGGGTTTCTTTTTAATGTGTCGCACAGAACACAGGATGGGTATTCGCAAAGGAAAGAAATCATGAAAAGTGACAAATATCAGCAGACAAGGGGCTCCTGCTGGAGGAACCGAGGGTGAGCCCGGAGCCCGCAGAGCCACAGGCGGAGCGAGGCCCCCCAGACACACGTATTAGGGAGAGCTAGGAACCCCTGCTCCATGACGGGCAAAGCAAAGTGAGCTCTCCCTCGGAGGGTAAAGCCAAGCCCCGGCGGGACGCCAGCTTTTCCTGACCCAGCAGGCAGCTCGCCTGCAGGTGCGGCTGTGGGTTTGGTGGAGCTTCATGGAAGGTTCCACGGGGTGGAGACGGAGGGCAGACACCGTCCGCCTCCCTCCTTCCCTCTCCTCCCTGGTGCAGCAGATCGTCGTGACAGACTCCGTGCCCCCCGTTCTGGCTGTGGGGTCAGGCGCTGGGCGCTGGGCACGTTCACCCCACGTTCTCTGCACACGGACCCCGAGTCAGGGCCCTGTTATCACCCCATCTGACAGATGAGGACACTGAGGTTCAGAGGGCAGAGAGGACTTGCTTGAGCCGAGACCTGCTCGTAAGTGGCCCAGGCAGGACGCAGACTGAGAACTTGCGCTCAGAACCGTGCACACCATATGGGCTTCTAGAAGGAAGATACCTGCCCTCTATTTGTGTGACCCACTCAGCAACCCCACACGGGAAACAACGCACACAGCCCTTGACGGGTGAGCGGGTAGACAAATGTAGCTTATCCAAGCGAGGGCCTGTGACTCTTTCATGAACAGGAACGAAGTCCTAATGCATGGATGAACCTTGAAACCATTGTGGAAAGTGAAAGAAGCCAGACACCGGGACCACAGATGGTAGGATTCCATGCATATGAAATGTCCAAGGAAGGCAAATCTATGGAGACACGGAGCCGATGGCTGGCTGCCTGGGGTGGAGTTGAGGCTGACCACGAAGGGTCAGGTGAGGTTGACCACGAAGGTCGAGCACGAAGGGTCTTCTGGGTGATGGAAACGTTTGAAACGGATTTATGGTGACGGCCCCACCACTTGCTAAGGTCACTAGGAATCATGGAAACGTACACTTAAAATGCGTAAGCCTTATGCTCCATAAGCTCTAGCTCCGTGTCGTTGTGCAAGGAAAACACAAACAACCCTGTCTGTGGCCTCGCACGATTCTCTCCCCTCCTCCAAAAGTGAGGTGTGCTGGCTATTGGCAGTTCACCGAAGATTCCGAGAATGTTCCAGAAAATGAATAAAACATAGCGTTCCTTTCATGTGGTGTTCTCTTAGGAAATCTCCCGGGAGGTGGAGAGCCAGGGGCCCACATGACAAGACAGGCGGCGGCAGGAAGTAGGCCAGGCTGCCGAGGACGCCCGCGTCTCCCACGGCCGGGCTCCTGTCAGGATCCGACGCTCCAGCTGCAGGAGTCGGTCCCACGGGCCCAACCCACAGGCGTCTGAGCTGGTGTTTTCTAGACTGGACCTCAGCCTCTTTCTAAAGTGATGGTGGCGTGTCCCCAGATTTCTGGCGGATCTGGCTGAACACCGTCTCGTTGGTTGTGGGCCTCCAGACGGCCAGTCACCAGGAGAGGCTGGGGGTGTGCAACAAAGCCTTGTCAGCAATGTCCAGACCTTGGGCAGCCGCGTCCTCCCTTCTCCCAGGCAGACGGCCGGCAGGTCACTATGGTGACACCATTTAACCCAAAGCCGCGGGACAGCCGGGCCCGAAGACGGCAGGGTGCCTGGCGACTGGACCAGACAGGGCTCTTCCAGTTGGGAGCAACAGTCGTGCCCAGGAAGGAACCACAGGGATCTGTAGGCTCGTATAATTGGAATACGCGAACTGAAAAGCTTGGGCCACACAGTACCGAGGGGCTCCTGAGGCTGAGCTGACATAGAGAAAGGCACGTGGGGTGCAGGGTGGGAGCCCCTTCCGTCCTGGGGAGTCTGACCTTGAGAAGGTCAGGGTGGAGGGACATATTTCAGGGCGTTTGTCTCAACAAGAAACCAGTGCTGAGAAGTGTCTTTTGGCAGCTAGCTCCTTTGTGTGTGTGTGTGTGTGTGTGTGTGTGTATGCAGGGGGCTGGTTTTTGTTTTCGTTTTGCTTTATTTTTTACTTGAACCGATCTGGTGAGGCCACGATATGGTCCCAGTGGTTGCAGAGAAGGCAGCAGACATTTGGAAACATTTGGAAGCCGGTCTTTCTGCTTCTGCCTGTACTTCCAGCCCGAACAGCTGTTCTCCACTTCAATTACCTTTTGAAGAGTTATAAATCAAAGATGCAAACAATGATATGCCAAAGGTCTTTTGCTCAGATGAGCCGCCACGGCCCTGGGGCCCTAGGCTCACTTGGCATCTGGGCTCTTGCTATGCACCATCATTATGTTTTAAGGGCGAGCAGGGTCTCCGGCATCGTCTGTGACACAGCCCTGTTTGCTAGCTGAGGAAATCCGATTTGAAGTGTACTTGTATGAGGCACAATTTAATAGCCCGCACCGGGTAAATCCCTTGCAGGGTGACAGTGTTGCATGTAAGTAACAGTGTTCACAGGGGCCGGGACCAGCGTTGTATCTGGGGGTCACAGGAGAGCGAGAAGAAATTGTTTCTTGACTATTTGTCGGCAGGATTGACAAGGATGTCCTATCTCATCGAGAACTAACAAAACTTCATGGAGCTCCGGGCTACAAACTGGGGGTGGGGGTACAGAGATGAAGTGGGACATGGCCCCTGTGTCCCGAAGCTCTTGGTTTTGAGTGGAGAACAGGTCTGTGTGCGTGGGTCAGTAGCTGAGACAGGCAAGGTCCTGCTCTCCCAGTTCCGAGGTCCATTCGATTCCTCAAGGACCAGGTCCCTCAACCCCTGAGGCTCAGGTCCGTCTGCAGGCAGCGGCCTCCCGTGGGGAGCTCCAGGATCACTGCATGGAGTCACAAGGCCATGCCCACCCATTTACATGTGGTCTGGGGCTGCTTTCAGAGTGAGCAGTCGTGACAGGTCCCGTGGCCCACAGAGGCCAAAATATTAACCTGCTGGCTCCTTACAGAGAAAGGCTGCCAATTTCCATTCCAAATGAGCCTGCTCTCACCCCTTCCTCTGACCTCACACCAGGTTGCTCTCAAGCTTATCTGAGAGTTTAGTCAACTGCATGCAGGTGCCAACACCTCGGAATGAGGTGCCTCTCCCTGGGCAAGGATGTGTAATCCAGAAGGAGCACTTGGCCCACCGCGGTAAACGTGATCGCTCTGTGCTTCTGGCTTGTGCAAAAGGAACAGCTTTGCTGAGCGAAGGCAAAGCAGCCGTTACGCTGTGCAGATTCCAGGGAGCTTACCGTTTGTGGCCTGGATGCCAGTTTGGTTTTAGCTTACTTAATACCTGTGTGTGGTGATTACCGTTAATGTAAAAGATCAAGTCCCACGTTGAGATGCCATAGTTTTTGCCAGTGGGAATATTGGGCAATAGCAGACAACATCTTGGTGGAGAGGACACGGTGTCCTGAATAGGAAATCCATGCAAACTATTTTTCTTGCTCCCTCTATGTCTCCCTAGCATCTCCCGTTGGAACCCCATCCTCATCACCACTCAGATGCTGGGCATCCTGACCCACAGCTGCCTCATAGAGCTGCATGGGGGCTGTTCCTTCCCAGCGCAGCCAAGCTGTGTGTCTGGGAACTCAAGCAGAGAGGGTCCATGCATCATTCAGCTTCTCTTTCTCAATGTGCATGTACTTGGAGGCACACAGAATGGCTTGGGGGAGTCCATGAATAGATATCTGGGTGCTTTTTTTTCCCAATGATCAAATAATGACTCCTTAAATGTACCTTAGGAAAAAAAATGTTAATTAACAAATCAAACCCTTAATTTGATTCACATTGTAACTTAGGCTGAGGCTAGATATATCCAAGTTTATTTATTTATTTTTTAAAAGATTTTATTTATTTATTTGACAGAGAGAGACACAGTGAGAGCAGGAACACAAGCCGGGGGAGTGGGAGAAGGAGAAGCAGGCTTCCCGCTGAGCAGGGCCCGATGCGGGGCCCGATCCCAGGACCCCGGGATCATGACCCGAGCCGAAGGCAGACGCTTAACGCCTGAGCCATCCAGGCGCCCCTAGATACATCCAATTTTAAAAGAGCAAGTTGATTTAAAGGAATATATTCAGTAAATAATAAAATATGTGTTCTGTGGACAAGGCAAAGATGGAGAAAGTGGCCCATGAAGATTGCAATTTGACCTCATCTGGTAGATGGGGGAGAAGAGCCAAGGCACATAGCTTTCCTAAGTCTGCCCAAAGGGCTGTCAGCAGGATTGAGGCTAGGCTCACATTATAACATAGGATGAGGCTAGACTCCAGTCACCTGGCCCCAAGTTCATTGTGATCGCTTCGAATCTTGCTGGTGTGCTATTAGAACAACAACCTTCAAAAGGCCAACATTGAACGGGCGCCTCGAGCACGGAATGCGCTCGGTCCCTGCTGAACATGCTTTAATGTAGGAACACTCCGAATCCGACAAGCAACCTGCTATGAAGTAGGCATTACCATCACACCCACTTTACAGATGGACAAACAGGCAGAGAGACATTGTGTGGCTTATTCAAGGCTGTCAAGCTGATGAATGGGAAAGACAGGGCGAGAACCCCAGCTGCAGAGTGGAAATCTTCAACTGCGAGGAAATTCCATGTCTTACTTGTGATTAACGTTCCCCTTAAAATGTTTATGCTTTAATCAATCTGATTGAGGTATAATTTACATTCAATAAAAGGCAGATTTTAAGGGAGCAGTTGTATGAGTTTTGGCAAACATATACACCCTAAACAAGACCCAGAACATGTCCATCCGTCCAGAACTTCCCTCATGGTCCTTGGCAAGCAGTCCCCGCCACAACCACACGAGAATCCGGATCTGCTTCCTGGTGTCCTAGCTGGAGCTCCTTGTTCCAGAATCTCATGCACGTGGGACCTGGCACTTCTCTATGCCTGCCATCTTTCACGCAGCTTGTTACTGATTATTTCCTTTTGCTACAAGTACTGGAGGATGGGTCTGTGCTGTGGATGCATCAGATTTTATTTGTGGCACATTCACCTGCTGACATTTGGGTTGTTTCCAGTTTTTAGTCATGAACAGAACAAATCCTTTCGTGGGCATATATGTTCAGTTCTCTCAGGTAAAATCGAAGAGCTGGGTGACGGGATAGTCTTTTCAAACTTGCAAAAACCCACCAAACTGTTTTCCAAAGGGTTTTGCCATTTTGTCTTTCCACCCGCAGCACTCCCAACACATTGCCAACATGAAGGAGCCATTCCAGTGGGTGGGAACCGGCATTTCGTGTGAACATGACGTGCATTTTCCTGATCACTGACTACATCAAGCACCACTTCCTGTACTTACTGGACATTTGTAGACAGTCTTTCGTAAAATGCTTATTCAAGTCTTTACCTATTTATATAAGTCGAGCTGTTTGTCTTTTCATTATTGATTTAGAGAATATATATATATATATATTATCTGTCCAGGATTTTTCTCAGATATGTGTGCTGTAGATATTTCTGAACCAGTCTTTGGCTCACTTTTTCACTTTCTCAATGATTTCTTTTAAAGAGCAGAAGTTCTTCATCGTGAGGAAGACCTCGTTATTCACTATTGTAACACTTTCTAATGTTGTTGAGGAAATCGGCACGTCTCCCAGGTTCACACAGTTAATCTCCCCCGTTTTCCTCTAGAAATTTCATAGTTTTAGCATTTATGATTAGTGTGTGATCCATCTTATGGATACTTTTGTGCATGGTGTGAGGCAGGGGTTGAGATGATGTGGCCATGATGATGATGATGATGAGTCTCTATCCAGTTATTCTGGCATTGGCACTGGAAACGAATTTTTCCCCAAGGAATTATCTTGGCATTTTTGTAAAAAAAAAAAAATAATAATAATCCATTCTCTCTACATGGGTGGGGCTATTTCCGGTCTCTGTTCTCTTCCACTAATCAATTTGCCCCTTCATGCACACACCACACTGTCTTGGTTGCTACAGGATAGTAAACCATGAGGGGGAGAGACTAAGACCTCTGATATTTTTTTCTTCTTAGATTTCTTTGGCTATTCTAGGTTCTTTGCATTTCCGTATCCATTCCAGAATCAGCATCTCAGTTTCTGCAAAATGGCAGGCTAGGGTTTTTATAAAGATTGCATGGGCTGTGGTCAGTCTGGAGGGACTCAAAATATTGAGTCCTCCCCATGAACACGGCGTATTTCCCCATTTACTTATCTACTGTCATCTCTCTACAATGTTTTCTAGTTTGGGGGGTCAAGTTCTTGCACCTTAATGAAATTGTGCCTTAGCATTTTATGTTTTCTGAAGCTATTATAAATGGCATTCTTAAAATACTTTTTTGCTCGGGTATAAAAATGCCGTGGATTTCTGTGTATTGACAGCAGCGGATGTGGAGGTCCACCAGCTAGATCTGCCCCTGAGAGAACAGAGTGCTAAATCCCTGGGCGCCGTGAGTGTTTGTGGCTGGCAGCGCTCGGCTTCGTCGCTCGTCTCCTCCTCCCTCCTGCACCCAGTGACCCAGTGCCAGAGTACGTCTGCTTGCGTCCACGAGGGAGGGCTTTGCAGAGCTTGGCTGAGGTCCTGGGGTGACTGAACCCCAGCTCAGCTGCTCCCCCCTTCTAGCCCCGCTTGCTTGCTCTCCCACAGCTGTGAGCTCTGAGACCACTTCTGAAGACATCTCCTGCCTTCTCCCATCTAGGGACACTTACCTGTGACAGCTGATACCAGGAATGACCCCAGCAAACAGACTGGAAAAGAGGATCGTAAGCTCGGTCATGGGCTGTCTGGCTCACTAGGAGAGTGACATCGCTGATGAGAGATGGAGTGTTGGTGGCCCTGGGATGTGTTCCACTAACTCGTACAAATCACCACCAGTGGAGGGAAGACCAATAGCTGGTGTTGGGGGACGGGGAGGTGATATTCCAGCCTGGACTTCCCTTTGTGGGAAACTTTCTAAATAACAGAATCAGTTCCTTTAAAAGACACAGGACTTTTGGGTTATATATTTCTGCCCAAGTCCATTCTCGTATGTCTTCTTGGATAAGTTTTGATGAGTTACATGCTTTAAGAATTTGTCACTTCATCTATGTTTACAATTTATTGGCATTAATTCCTCCATAACGTTCCTTTCTCATTTCATGGCCGCAGAATCCTGGTGATGATCCTCCTTCTATTTCTGCAGGTAATATTAAATTTCTTTATTTTCATCATTGTGGCCAGAAGTGTATTCATTTCATGAACATTTTAAACAACTGTCCACCTTTTTCAATTTTTTTCTGTGGTTTGTTTTCTATTTGGTTGCTTTTCACTCTCATCTTTGTTATTTCCTTTCTCTGACAGCTTTGGGTTTAATTTTTTTCTTTTCCTAGCTTCTCAGGGTGGAAGCCAAGATCGCGGACTCCATCCCACGCTGGTGTTTGACTTGTAGCTGCTGGAGGGTTCTGAGCCACAGCACGTGCAACCTGGTTTATATTTTAGAGGGCAGAGGGAAAGCACAGTGCCCGGGAATTCCGAAGGCGAGCCCCAGATGTGTCTGTGAAGATGTCGGGGGCTCCCTGGCGTAAGACCTGGTCTTCGGGCGGCAGTCCTTTCCGGTGTAGACTTGGGAAGGTAAAGTGAGCCGCCTTGTGTTGGAGAGACCTCCGGACAGCAAGTGATGGGGAGTGAGCAATGGAGAGGGCCACCTGGGCAGCTGGGCAAGGCGCGTCCTCTTGAGCCAGGCATCCTGGCGCTCTGGTCTCCGTGTGTCTCCCCCCCTTCCCTGGTCATGTCACCTGGGCACAGCGCTGACCCCTCGCTGTTTCCTCTGCTGGAGAAGGGGTGTAGGACCCAACCCTCGTGCGGGGCTTCTGAGGATTAAATGCAACCATCTAAAGAAAGCCGTGAGCAGAGTACCTGGCAAATAGCGAGCCCCCGGGGAGCAGCAATATTAACAGTAAGGCCTCCCATGTAAGGAAGCTCTGCACTTGACCCTGAAGAATGCGAGGAAGCAGCGGAAGAACTGGACCCCAGAGCCCTCGGTGCCCCAGGCCTGACAGGGAATAGGCCTTTCGTGAGGAACTCCCAGCCACAGCTCGGGAAAGATCGCTTGTTTTGTTTTGTCCTTTGGCGTCTTCTCTTTATCTTCCACGCAAGGCTCGGAGGAAGCATCCACTCTTGATCAGAGGGTCCCGTAGCCCGAGCTGGGAACTTCTCGCCCAAGGGGGACCGAAGGAGCGCCATCCCTGTGCCTTGGAGCAAAGTCTGTTTTTGAATCCCTGCTTAACTCTTTGGAATGTAAAGCTCCTTTAAAGCTATTTTTGAATCTAATTCTATATTAATCTTTAATATGATCCAATTTAATCATGAGTCTTAAATCTCTCACACCGAGTGTGTGCGCGCCCATCAGATCCTACTCTGAACATCGTTAGGTGAGTTTAAAGGGATGAGCTTCTTTGTGCTCTGAGAGCTGACCTTGTCGAGCAGCTCTGTCCCTCACTCCTTCCCTGGCACCGGGGGTTTGGGGCCACGTGCCGTCTCACACCCGCAGGGAGGGGGAGCCCGCGTGCCGCACCCCCACGAGGATGCGCGGGCTGACAGTGTGAGCGTGGGTCCAGGCAGAGTCTCCGTAGTTCCACTCCTTGCGTCTGACCAAACACACGGCCTGTTGCCCCAGTAAACGCAGATCAGAAGGCGGTAGGTACTGTGTGCTTAGTCGTGCCCCCTTATTAGCACTTGGTCTTAACTCGGCAGGAGCAGTTTGTCTCCAGGGGACACGTGTCAGTGTCTGGAGACATTGTTGTTTGTCACAGCTGGGGGATGGGGGGCCTGGCACTTAGAGGGGGGCCAGGGATGCTGCTAAAGCCCCTGCAGACCCCAAGAGGACCCCCACGACCCAGCAGTGTCTGCTGCAAAATGTCAGCAGTGCCAAGGTGGAGGAGCGCCGACTTCTGGAAATCCACTGGTTTTTAATGTATCAGATGTGATTCTGCGAACGACATCTGACGGGCAAAACCAGTCTTCAGTCACTTTACCAAGGAAATACTTCCTTGGCACCAACCCCCGGGAAACTCTCGTGCCAAGCCTAGTCGGAGAACCACGTTCCTCGGTGACGCAACAGTGGGTCTTGCTGTTCTGTTGCCCAGACTTCTATAAAGTTTTTCTCCCCCATCCATATAGCCTGTGACTTTATTTTTATGTGTCGGGATGGTGAATCTTATGTGTCACCTAAGTGCCCAGATGGGCACTGGCTGGGTCACAGGGTGCCCAGATCGTTGTCAAACATGTCTCTGGCATGTCTGCGAGGGGGTGTCAGATACGATCAACCTCTGAAGTGACAGAAGCAGAGTGAGGCAGATCTGAGGGAAGCAGATGGCCCTCCCTGGTGTGGGTGGGCCTCGTCCAAGCAGTTGAAGGGCCGGATGGGAGAACAGCTGAACTTGTCTCTAGAAAGGGGTTTCTCCCCTTGCCTGACTACCTTCACACTAGGACTTCATTCTTCTGGCCTTTGGCTTCAAACAGGCGTATCCGTTCTTCTTGGGTGTCAAGCCAGTGGGCTCTCAGTTCGGAACCATACGGATTGCTCTCCTGGGCCTCCAGCTTACCGACTGCCCTTGTGGGACTTCCGGCCTCCATCACCATGGGAGCCAACTCCTTATAATAAATCTTTTTCTCTATATATTCACCTCCTGTAGGTTCTGTTTCTCTGGAGAACTCTGACTAATACACATGTATTGATTTTTTAAATCCACATTTATATCTGTATATGCTTCTATTTTTTTTTATTGCATTTTATCTGACCATGTGTAGTCAATGCAGTGTCTGTTTTTTTGGTTTTTTTTTAATTGTTGTTTTTGCTGGGCAGGATTCCATCTGTGGGAGACCCAACCACCTTCCACTCACTGTGGTTTGGGGGGCTCCATCATGTCCCATGCCGCACCCCACGGGCATCATGCCATGGAGATTTGTCAAGGATATGTTACTCCCAAAGTGAAATAATAGAACCTACCTACACACATAATTTAATAAGAAATCAATTTTATGCTCTGACCGTACTATAAAGGTCAAGAGAAAGGAAAGTTATTCGTAATAAAATATGTTATGTTAAAATGTAAATGTTCGGGATCAGCCACCTTGGAAGACACGGTGAATACTCAGGGCTCTTCCCAGGATGGACTGCAGCCCCTAAAAAGACAGAATGGATGCAGACTAGTTTCTGGCTGCATCCCCATCCCCCACCCCCCAAGTGGAACAGCTGCCCGAGATAGGAATCTGCAAAATAGCGAAGGCTCCCGCTGCAGGCCCAGCTCCACAGAAAACTTGCAATCTTCCCCTACATCCACACAGAGGTTATGTCCCTGGAAAATTCCACATGTATCAGAAATGTTTTGTGTTATCAGAAAACTGGCATGAGGACAGTAGGCTCAGACTGTTATTAGCAAGATTCTTCCTACACGCCTGTCTGGCTGGATATTCAGTGAGGTGATGGGCGCAGGTCTCTGCTGAGCAGGGTGCTCCCGGCATAGTACCCAGTGCAGGGCGTCAGGCATCCCTGAGTCCCCCACTGCCCTTACCAATGCCATAAGCACCCTCCAATTACTGTGATGCAAAATGCCTCCGAGGACCGTGCTACCCTGCTGAAGAACAGGGGGTGGGCACCTCCCCTCAGTTGGAAGTAGAGGCCACACTTCCTGCCAAGGCTGGTAAGGGGGAAGTTGCCGGGCTTGGGCTCCCGTTGTTTACTTTGGTCCCCACATAGGGGGCCTGAGAGCCTGCAGGGGGAATGACAGGAAGCTGAGACTTGAGCTGAGAGATGCAGAGGGGAGAGCATGCCAATATTGCAGCCCCTGGATCCAGCTGTACCTGAAGGTGGCTCCATCCCCACACCTAGAGCTCTATGAGCCAATGATTCCTTCTGTTTCTGTCACTGCAAACAAAGGAGTTAACCAGTGGCAGCATAACAGTGAAACTTCTACCAAAAATAAAGAATATTAGGATGTACAGATTGAGAACAAAGCTTCCTTCTCTGAACTCCCCATTGTACACCCCCCCCCCCCCCCCGCACATTTGGAATACAATTACCTGGCCACACTGAAAACTCCCATTTTGATTTCAGTTAGTGATTTGTTGTCATGCTTTCCTTGGGTCTTATTTTCACTCCACTATCAATGAGTCTTAATAGTGATTGTCACAAAAGCTTAACGAATAAATCAGGAGGTAGGTACGATCTAGGATGAGTCCATTATTTTTAGAGTCACAAGGAATACCCATTTCATTCCGGAATCTATATTTCATCGATCATTCCTTCAGAGAATGCGCATTAATATTTAAGTGCAGAGCGAAGACACAAGGTCTGTGGTCTCTGCCTTGGAGTAGAAGCCGCACTGCCACCCCAAACTGGGCCCTGGGGCTGCGACAGCCGTTTGCAGGTGGCAGAGACGGCGAGGCAGTGGGCCCGCAGAGCATTGATGTCACCGCCTCTGTTCGTACAGCCCTTGTGCTTGTTTCTCAGGAAGATTATTCTAAATCCCCAATATTCAGCTGCATCTCTGCATCGGGAAAAGGCAAAGTCACCTTTAAAGAAAACAGCATTATCAGTTTAACCTGCTAGCGTGATGTGTGTGCAGAAGCCACCTCGGGGCCTCCCCGGAGAAGGCGGTGCTCGGCCCTGGAACGCGGGGATGAGAGGTCGAGCCAAAGAGGGGCGGGCGAGAACACTCCATTTTCCAATCCTTCCACGAGAACCAGGGAAAAGATGAGGAAGATTTTTCTCAAGGTTTGTCTCTGCTGATAATTAACCACTGTGCAGAAACCTGGAGCCAAGTGAGCATTTTGTAATTTTTGTTTGAAGTGAAAGGCAACTTTCAGAACTACTCGTAAGAAATTGGAGACGTTAGGGTCTCCACATCATTTTGTCCATAAAATCAAATCATGAAAGAAGAATACAATCGCACTGCTCTGTTGTGTGCGTGTGTGTGTTTTGAAACTGGATTGAGAAGAGCTGCCTTTTCTTAAGAAATTTTCCAACATTTAGAAAAATCATAACAGCAAACCTCCTATGTATAGAGGTAGCCCATTACATACCTGGAAACCACACAGCCCGTTTCCAGCAACGCACATAGTGCTTAAGAATCTGTGTGCATTGCTTAGCATTGCTTAGCAATAAAAATACGGTGGGTATATCTTAATTCCGTAACAAGTGTCTTCATAAAATAATAAAGAATAATTGTCTCTCTCTTCTGAGGACCAGAATCCCAACATATCCCCAGAACTAGGTAGAAAATTTTCATGCACTCCACAAATTTGCAGGGGGAAGCAAACCGGTAAGACAGATCCTAGTTTTCCCAGAGAAGTTGAAACATAAGCATTTGAATCAGACGCTTCAGTCACTTTTTAATGGGAATTTTGGATGTGTCCCTCACAAAGAAGTTTAATTCGGTATTTTTCCTGATGTTTTCAGACCGGTGTGCTCACAGCAGACCTCCTGTTTTCAGGGTGTTTTTCTTGGGGTTTATCATGAAACAGTTGCTTTCCTCAACACTCCCACTTCCCAGCATGGCATGGTATCTAAAAATATTTGGAGCTCCTTATTGTATCTGTCTTGGAAATGTCTTTTTTTAATACTGAGTCACTGGGTGCATTGCAGGGATGGGAGAGCTGAGGAAAAACTTTTTTTCTTGCTACTGGCTTTTAGAAAATGATTGTATCTGTAGAGAATCTGCGACCAAGAGAGGAAAAATTCTTCTCCAGCCTTAAATTAGATCCTTTATCTTAACAAGTTACACAGAATTTGCTGATGCTTCTGTTTGGGGCCCCACAGTTGCCCCCGAGCTGCAGTGACATTAACTGGCTTCGGTCCTCGTGTTGCAACGAGTTACTTTCCCCAAATCCCATTTCTGCCCTGCCTTTGGGGAGACTTCCTCCAACCTGCTCCAAGGAACCTCTTTGTCATAAAAATCACCACCTTCACTATGGACCCTCCATTCATCTCCAGAGATGGACGAGAGCAGGGACGTGACTGATTCGGGGGGAAAGGCTGATTTTGGGGTTGCTGCCATGTCCACGGGGCTGCTCCTGGAAGGGGCCCCGGCATCCCGGGCCTGGCCCCGAGGGAGCGCAGTGAAGATTCTACACCCAGGCCCCGGAGACCAGAGGGAGGAGCTCCCCTGCTCCTGCGAGGAAGCCGGCAAGCGGACAGCAGGCCTTGACGTCCAGCAAGAAAAATGTTCACGGAGGCCTCCAACGCTGCACGGGGTTGGCTGAATAGGAAAGGCGCTCGTCCCGAAATCTCACTGGGTGAGGATTGGGAGCCTGGCCGCTGGCCTTGAGCTTCGGCCCTCCATTTAGAGGACAAGGGGGCTGCCCCAGGGCGTGTGGAGGCCCCTCCTCCCTGCAATTATAATCACCTTGTAATTCCAGAGGAGCTGACCGGAGAAGGTTTGAGCCCCTGCTTGCACCCACCTGCTGCGGAGCCCCGGCACATCTCCCAAGACGCCCCGTCCTCAGTTTGCTCATCCTAGAAGCGGGGATGACAGATACTGTTAGCTGCTGAGAAAGAGCCTGCCATTTCTGTTTGTTTCTTTTCCCCTGTTGCCATCCACTCCCGTGCTTTCCTCTGACGCATCTCATCCCCTCCACTCTCTGTTCACATGGGTCCTGGTGAGCACTCGTCCTTACCCTGGCCAGTCAGTCAATGAATGAATGGCACTGAGCACCTGGATCCAGTTGAACCTGAAGCAGACTCTCTGCATTTTTCTAGGAGTCAAACTGATGAACTCCCTATTGTGTGCCTAAGTGGGTCTGGGCTTGGTTCTCATCCCCTGCAACAGTGAAGAGTGGTTCTCACACGGAAGCATGCCTCAGTGCCCCCTGGAGGGTTTGGTTAGATACAGACTGCAGGACCCACACCCAGTGGTTCTGATTCAGCAGGCCTGAATTTTCATTTCTCAAAAGTTCCCACGTGCTGCCGCAGCTGGTCTGAAGACCACGCTCTGAGAACCATTGCTTCGATCCAACCTATCCTGTGTGGCTTCTGGGGCCTCGGGGACAGTGTCAGTTATCCATCACACTGGAGGGAAGGACCTGATACACTGCAGTCACCTTCTAATCCTGTGTGTTGGGGGCAGGAGGCACATGCCCC